TGTTTGAGTTTAGAAATCTAAAAATTGGTTTCCTCTGAGTTGTTATTTTATTACAAATGATAAAATCCGCAAGTTAAATCTGTTAAATTTCCTTGTGCAAAAGTCTACAGACTGACATCCAATCAATAGAGCTTTATTGCGAAAAAAAATTGATAATAATACTTAAGATGATAAAACACCTATAAAAGATTTACATTTAACGTGGAATGGTGAGCCATAGTTATTCCTTGACTGAAAAGTAGGATTTAGATATACTTAGCCCACCCAAAAAAGAAGAAATTCCATAAGTATATCAGGAAAATAACTGCCATAGGTTCTTGCGAGAAAAAGTAACAAAATGAATAAAAACTAAGAAAATGCATTATCGTGTGAAAAACTGTATTGTTACGTTACTGTCGAAGGAACATTTATCCAAATTCCATTCTTATTGCTCTCGGAAAAAATGTGCCATTTTGTTATAAGATCATGTTGACTGTCGGATTGGTCAAATCGGATCCAAAATGATTTGTCTAGATTACAAAAAAAGTACTATATCACTGGCATTCACATTTTACTCCGAACTGAACACCACTGTCACTATAAAACATAAAAGTCTAAAATATATTAATATGCAGCCGATGCGGGAAGGGGACTCAGTAATTTAAATGTCATTTAAACATAAAACAAAATTGTGTTTTAAAAAGGCTGGATTGATACCAGATCAAACAAGATGACACCTTATGGTGTAGATATGGTATATATATCAATAATACTGAGTGCTAGTCCTTTACATTTTTATAGGGCCAATTTAAATGGAACATTACAGGCATAAGTAGTTTAATGGCAGTGACCACTGTACACCTTTTGGAAACATATTTCTTAATGTCAAGACTTCAATAGTAAAATTATTATTTTTAGTAGAATTTTGTCCAACATAATGATTTTTAAATAATTAACACACTTTACTTACTCATTAAATTTCAGACACTAAAATTTGTCCAAAATAGCCTGTGGCACTAATGGCTCCGAACATAATACCTTGATTACAATTCAATTTACACAAACATTTACTAATCATAAAATATAAATGTCACCTACGTTGATATTTCAATATATTTGACAATTCAATTGCAACCAGCTATATTGGAATTACCAGGTAACCACCGAATTTCTTGGCGAGTACTGACAAATGCCTAGGAATGCATGCACATATAAATAAGACGCATGCATATTGTATATGAAGCTTGGTAGCGTACTAGCCTCGATAAAAAGCCGACTCAATGTACCGTGTAGTAGAGAAGAAGGTATCTCTTAGGCATCATGCATCTAATTTGCCACTGTGCGTGCCCCCACTCGATCAATTTTATATAACTGTTATTGTGCACAGACAAAATATATTTCATTGTAGAAGTCTATAACATTTCATGCTTTATGTAATACGATATACCACATCGTAAATGATTGGATTTTAAGAAGTGTTAAATGGTCGTACAAGTAAAATGTCTCATGCCATACTAAGTTAGGGATGAGGGAGGGATAAATACCCTGCCACGTCCGGTCTGTGTTTTTGTTTGATGTTTTTCTGCTTTGTATCGATCTGATGAGTTAAGCCTTTTTCAACTGATTTTTATAGTTTGTTCTTATGTTGTCCTGTTACACCGCTGTCCAAGGTTAGGGGAGGGTTGAGCGCTCACATTTTTTGATGTGACTGGCAACGTCAGGAGCCTGTAGTTCAGAGGTTGTCGTTGGTTCATGTCTGTCATATTTGTTTTTCTTAGATTGTTTTGTTATAAATTAGGCCGTTAGTTTTCTCAATTGAATTGTTTCATATTTTTCATGCCGGGCCATTTTATAGCCGACTATACGGTATGGGTTTTTCCGCTCATTGTTGAAGGCCGTACGGTTGCCTTGCTTACATCCACTTCATTTGAACTTGGGTGGATAGTTGTCTGATTGGCAATCATACCACATCTCCTTATTTTTATAGTATAGCAAATTCTCACAATGATCTAGAGACGCCAACTACTGCTAGGGGGAAATAACGGGAGATAATAAACCTGTCAAAATTCCTGACCATAATTTTTCTTGCGTTAGGTCGCGTCAACCATGTGACGTCATCATTAGATATTATGTGACTAATTAATCTTAATTTTAATCAACTAATTGCTTTGGAGGATAAACTCATCGTAAAAGAGAGGCTAAAAATACCAAAGGATATTCAAACTCATAAGTCGAAAACAAAGTGTCAATGGCATGGCAGAAAAACGAAAAACGACGAAAATACAAACAACAGTATACAAAACACAACATAGAAAACCAAAGACTTAACAACACGAACCCCACCAAAACAGGGGGTAATTAAAAGATAGTGTTAAAATTGCCGGATTCGAAACTACCAAAATCAGATATTTTATTAGGGATTTTCCATATTTTATGAAAATATAGAAGCGACGAAAATTAAAGGTACATGTAGTCAAGGTCGTTAAACACGCCCTAGTAGTAATAGGGATTCGTCAGTCCTAAGGTGAATCGCGCCAGATTGTATGCGATTTAAATGTATGGAACGCCGCATTACAATAATAAGATGTGACATGAAAAATTTACAGTATTATGTTTCTTAATTATATGAGTTATAATCAAATAATAAGTGTTATGTTTGGTAATTATTTGCATCGGCTCTGGGATCGACGGCGTGCGCATGCTCGACTATATGAGATTAAAAGGGGGAATATTTCTCATATGGAGGTCAACCAGAGCTTCCCTGAGACGTTTCAGTCACCGACACCGTAAGATCAACTCCGTTGTGGAAGATTAGGGCGGTGGTCCTAGATGCTCGCAACTCTACACAATTGTTACAAGCAGAACTGCCTAATCTTGTAATCTGGGTACTTCAGTGAAAGTGACTTAAACGTTATTGCATACAAAAAGAGGGAGTAACATATTTCAATTTAATGTTCTCGAAAATTTGAAGTCGTCTCCTCCGCTGGAATGGTGATCAATAAATCACACTAGATAACTCCGTGGTCACATTTGCATAATGATACACTATGTAGTTGTGGTGTGGTCGTCAGTTTGCAAAGATTTTCGCTCAAACCGGTGCAAGGCGCCGTCTGAAACTTGCAATGAGGGGAGAGTTTTTGATCCGTGTTGAAGGTCTCACTGTAACTTTGAGATGAAGAATAGAAATAAAAGCGCTGTTCCTTTGCCTTTTGTGTTTTAGCTGTGCATGCACCGATATATAAAATAATATGAGAAACATCTGTACATCATTAATCAATAACGCCAATTGATAAGCCGTAATCAATAAAACACTTTATGATGAGGTTATCCTCCAAGAAATTAATTGATTAGTCTCATAAATACTTAATGATGACGTCAGTGGGTATCCTCATTGTGTATCCCCTTGGGTAGCATCTCTTAAAAGTTTAACATTAACACAATGTCGCTTTAACTATTACTCTCCTCATTACTGATATACTTTTTTTTTTAGTTCTTCTGATGTTTGTGGCAGACAATAGACATTTGCAAAAAAAGTTTACAAGTTCAATATTTCTAACATAAATTAAAAGTTTTATTTCGACTCTGATTAAAATATTGTTAAAAGTTATTTTCAATTTGAAAGTTTTAAACAAATATAGTTATTTTTCTAAATCGTTTTACTCCACCGAAAATAAAATTTTTCTTAACTAAATATCGTAGAAAAAACCAAACACAGTATATAGGGTTGTGCGTTCGCTACATGATCGCATTTAATATAACATATTTAACATATCTACAATCAGACATACATAAATGCATCAAAATTCACCATAACAAGTCGATACGAACTGAGAAGGTAATATATAAAAGGTTATTTGGGGTTGATGGGTGGGAAATAGTGTACCAAAACTAACTTCTGTGTCGTAACTATCTTGTAACGAACGTTGAATTGCCATTAGTCAAGCGCGCCTTAAATTTTCTTTATATACTGACCGCCGAGATCGTCCGTGCAGAAAGGAATTCAATGGGTATTACCTTATCTAATTTAAATATTGAAAACCGTTATGTTAAACATAGGACCGAAAAGAAATGTAATGATTTAAAATTTTGACTTCAAATCAAACGAATTTGAAGCGATCAATAATTTAAAGAGTTAAGCAAGCATGGATTTTTAATAGCAATTTATGAATGCTAGTACTTGATTTTCCTTCGTCGGTGTGCCTGTGATGCCGGATTTTTTAATAAGCTGTGATAGATCTCTTATAGTTATTTGTGTGCAATACTCGAAGTAGTTACGTCGTTCAAAAACAATTTTCCTATTTGGCGACAGAAGTTTTATCTAGTGACGTCACAATTTTTACGGGAACGTCTGTGATGTCTAGTTATAGCGGACAAATAGGGATAAGGTGTAAAAGCAAATAGTTCTTCATCTTTTCTCTACTCATAATACGCTAAAAATACTCCCGGTATCTCCTTCCGCATGATTGACGACATTGAGCATCAGTACAAGTCAATTAATATTAATTGATTAATTAATTAGGGTGCTTTTTCATAGCTCAAATTAAAGAGAAATAAATTTACAGTACAAGATTCTTTATTTTTTGAGAAGGAAAAGAAGAAGTTGAATTAATTGTTGATGGAGAAACAATCACCGTCTTTGCTTCCATATAACGTTTGTATATATGTACATATGCATTATGTAATATTTATTGTTGTGTATCTCTATACCAATTGTAATTTGGTTTGTTGAGAAATAAAGATATATATATATATATATAAACAATCACTGTCTTTGCAGACAATGAAATAGCCAAAAAGATCCATGCCAAAGGTTTTTAAGCATTTATGAAGATATATAATTGACAACGCCAAAAAATTAAAAGAATTTGCTACACAGTATAATATGAATATCATAGTCACAAATATAAAACAAAACCACTGCATCAAAAGAAATTCTACTATCATTTGTTGTTGGTTTTTTTTTATATATATTATTTATATGTTCACCTACTATTGCAGTCAAATGAAATATTAGTTCTTCAACTTGCAGTATAAACTTTCGTTAATATTTTTATATGCTAGGTCATAAAAGTGCTACAATAAACTTTAAAAAGGGTGATCTTACATTTTATTTAAACACTTACAACCTTTGGTATGTATACAAGTTTTTTTTCTCTCAACAGACACAACCTTGTTCAACAAGATCATTCAGCAGGCTAAACATGGCAAATGGAAGGAACAATAAGACACTAGTAGTCAATTTTCAAAGCCACTACCAAAATGTCTATCCTCCAGCACTTCAGGCACATCTTTGATACCAGTGTCAATTTCTACATTCCCATCGTGGACAGCAGAACCAATTATTTCAGGTACACCACGGACACAACAATCTAAAACTTCAGGCACATCTTTGACACCAGAGTCATACACGTCAAGCACTAAGGAAGCATTTCAGGCACATTTTTGACACCAGAGTCAAACACTTCAGGCACATCTATGACACCAAGAGAAACCTCCGAGTACAGGTAACTCACTATTTACTTTTAAGCTGTGCATTTTTAATCGAGACGTTGAATAAATTACCTCCCCTTTAATAACAAAAAAATATGAATCCTCAACCATTTTCTCTCTTAAACAACCCTAAAACAGGACTAAAATTATTTTTAAATGAATATAGGATGGTATACTTCAATCAGACAGTAACCCACCTACAAAAACAACCAAAAGACACGTAGTGGGCAAGAAACAGTCTTGAACAAGGTATTAATTTAATATGTAAAGCTTAAATGGTCCCAAGTCTAGACTACAAAAGTGTGTATAGATTAAATACAAACATTAATACAGACAAACTTTGCAAAGTTAAAGATATTAAGATGTGACGTCAAACATACACGAGTGTTATATATGTATGCAAATACAAATTAACATATTTTTGCATTTATACATGGATTTATCCAATAAGAAATAATTTTGAGTACTTCCTTATTCATCGTAAATTATGGGCAAACAAAAGACAAACAATAAAAATCACATTTGTGAGCTAGAACACACAGTGAACTATGCATCTATTTTTAGAAGCAGATCGACCAGGAACAACAATCAATCTTAATTCAGATGATGAATCATAAAAAAAGTGGTCAAAGAAGAATGAAAAGGTACTAACTAGCATTCAATTTATCTGAAGACTTTGCACAATTTTTTTGCATTTGTTTCTAAAATATCGTTCTGAAAATGCATGAAATATTTGCCACTTTATTATGCAAACAACAATCAATGAATATATACAATACCGTATTATCCAGGCATCAGTGAAACATGTCAAACATGAACCTGCATTATATGGTCTGAACAGTAGTCTCATAAATTAAAAAAAGCTTACAAAATTGTTTCAAATGTGTCCTAATCATGCTTAAAATAAACTTTGTGTTTAAATTATTATCTATTGCAGATGCGTTAAAATTCTATGACCCAGATGCCAAATATTTATGGTTAGGACTTCACCACTGCTTGTACACGACTTCCTGTCATAATGGGATTTAGGGAACGTCTTCAGGTGACAGGAAGGCAATTAAAAAAACGAATGGTACTTCACAGAACTTGCATACAACTATACATTCCCTGAACCAACACCAAGATACTTTATATGGTGCCGTAAAACATGGGAGTTTAAATTGCATCCAGCTGCAAAAATGGATTTTGAATGCGGGTAATGTTTTTTTTCGCTAGTTAAAGATATCTAAAAGTTCTACAATTTGTAAATACTTTAACATTTGAAGCAACTAAAGAAATTGTAGCAGTTTCATACAGTTTATTCTGAAGCCCTTTTCTAGTTTCAGAAGAATGTATATACAAAACCTATAAATAAGCATTCAAAATTAAGTGCCATTATCAAATCTTCAAATGGGTGTATCACTGTTCAACAACAACAATCAATCAAATCATACAACAGGTGGTTTTAGGATGCATCAAGTTCTTCTGATTAATTTGCTTTTGGCATAATATATTCATGCATGCAGGCTGGATAAATATCTTATTCTCTGCTTTAATAGTTTTATCAAATTTCATTGAGAAAATTGATTGAAATCATACTTTGAAAAAAAATAGCTATTTAATTTGTTAATTCATCACTATATTGTACATACCTCTTGCCTATTACACTACCAGTCTTACATGTACGAGAAAATGTTAACTATCTTCCATGTTTGAATGTACATACTGTATGTTAGGTGACAATGTAAGCTTTGAACATAAATTTATTGGGAAATTTCATAACAGCCGTATAAAAGCAGGTGACTTTAATGTGCATGGTCATACCATTTGATTCTTTTTTTTTAATTTCAGTTCGATTTTCAACATCAGATATTACCCAGCTTATAACCAAATCGACCGAAGATGTAGAGAGGAAACAACAGGAAAGGATGGCTCTACAAACAGAACTGGTCAATGTCGTGAAAGACTCTGTATAACAAAATCTAGAATTGGAACTTTGAATGAAAACAAAAACTGTTTCAATGATTACATAGCACAGGGTTATTTTAATTTTTATTGGAAGTTTGTGATTATGACTTAAATAAATGACACTTAAGATAGGTTTATTGAACTGAGATATTTTTTCTGAGGAAAAGTTGTGAACTGTTGATTGGTGTTGATTTTCAAATTTATTTAAAATATTATCTTATCATTTAACTTGAAACTTATGTATATATTCTGTTTCCTGATTAATTCTAGGAAATAGCATGAAATATGCAATTCATAATTTAATTCCAACATAATTTTGATTTAGGTTATGGATACCTTTCGTATATATTTTTGGATAAATACTCAAAATTTGCCAAATTCTGCCAAACTTGCGGTTTAAGGCTATCTTCAGGCATTTAGAACTTGGCCATAATATTGTAAGATTCTCAAAGTGCCCACATGGAGTTGTGAAACTATTACATTGATTAAAGATTGACATACCTTTTGAAACGCGGCCCTATTGTGAAATAAGTTCGGAGAATATTGGCACTACCTCTTTGATTTTAAAGTCAAATCAATCTTGAGTATGAATCCGCACGTACAAACGCATGCACTCACGCAATAGACATACGGTCTTCAAAAAAGAGGGGTGTCTATGCTATAAATGTCAAGATCTTAATCGAGTATTGAAATGTAAATAGATATAAGAAGATGTGGTATGAGTGCCAATGAGACAACTCTCCATCCAAGTCAAAATTTATAAAAGTAAACCATTATAGATCAAAGTTCGGTCTTCAACACGGAGCATTGGCTCACACCGAACAGCAAGCTATAAAGGGCCCCAAAAATTACAAGTGTAAAACCATTCAAACGGGAAAACCAGCGTACTAATCTATATAAAAAAATCGCAAGGGTTCCGCGGAACCCAGTGTCTCGCCTACTTTTGCTGTTAATCGCAGGCTCAACAAAAATGAGGAAAAAAGTCAATAAAAATATTCCTTTAGATACTAACTGCAGACTGTATTTAATGTTAACTGGAAGAAAAACTAAGTCGATTTATAAGTAATATACGGAAAAACAGGAAATAAATTTTTACAAAATTTCCTTCTAGATACTTGCTTTTGATCATAAACAAGCTTCTGTCCAAGTTTGGTACAAATCCAGGATAGTTTAAGAAAGTTATAAAATTTTAAAAACTTTAACCACAGAGTGAATGTAATGTTAACTGGCAGAAAAACTAAGTCCATTTATAAGTAAAATACGGATAAACAGGTACAAAACTTTAACAAAATTTCCTTCTAGATACTAGCTTTTGATCATAAACAAGCTTCTGTCCAAGTTTGGTACAAATCCAGGATAGTTTAAGAAAGTTATTAAAATTTTAAAAACTTTAACCACAGAGTGAATGTATTGTTTCCTGGCAGAAAAACTAAGTCCATTTATAAGTTAAATATGGAAAAAATAAAAAAACATTTTAACAAATTTACTTCTGGATACTATCTTATGATCATAAACAAGCTTTTGTCCAAGTTTGGTAGAAATCCAGGATAGTTTAAGAAAGTTATCAAAATTTCAAAAACTTTAACCACAGAGTGAATATTTGTGGACGCCGCCGACGACGTGTAAATTGAATTGTAATCAAGGTATTATGTTCGGAGCCATAAGTGCCACAGGCTATTTTGGACAAATTTTAGTGTCTGAAATTTAATGAGTAAGTAAAGTGTGTTAATTATTTAAAAATCATTATGTTGGACAAAATTCTACTAAAAATAATAATTTTACTATTTAAGTCTTGACATTAAGAAATATGTTTCCAAAAGGTGTACAGTGGTCACTGCCATTAAACTACTTATGCCTGTAATGTTCCATTTAAATTGGCCCTATAAAAATGTAAAGGACTAGCACTCAGTGTTATTGATATATATGTAGGACTCTAAAGTGCGATGGTACTCTAAAGTGCGATGGTCACGCTAAAGTGCGATGGTCTACGCTTAAGTACGATGGTGTCTCACGCTAAAGTGCGATGGTTGTTTGTTTGCTAAAGTACGGTGGTATATCAAGCTAAAGTGCGATGGACCAATAAGGTAAGGTTCGAGGGCTTTAAAAACGTTAAAGAACATAAGATGTAAAAATAGTCCTTTTGCAAAATCTAGTATTCTGAGGTATACCATATGTGATAGGCATTATAATCTACTGGTAGGCTGAGTTATTGTTTCTAAATTTAGAAGACCGACCACGTAATAATTGCTAAAAAGGTAATTTAGGTGTAAAAAAATACTATATTTCTTGTAAATGAATTTTTAACAATTCGGGCGTATTAAATATTGTGATAATTGGCGTAGTTTACCATTCACACAGTCTATCACTAATAGGAACACCTCCCCTTACAGTCGTCATTATAAATTACAAATACAAAATTCGATTATTGTCGGAATATGTAACATTTATTTGTTTAAGCTTTAATTTAAATGAGAGAAAAAGGCGATGTTCGCCGAGTTTTCTCCTTTTTCGTAGCGACTACACATACATGTTATATTTTCCTATAATGTACAAACTAATATTTAAGACGACAATTTATAATTTACGCATGCAAACATGTACCTTTATTTTACCAATGTTACTTTTTAAAGCCACAATATTTTAACGGGGACCGCAAAGTAAACTGCAACATATACAATGATTTAAATTTATCCGTAAGCTTCCAATAAAAGCACGATACAGGATATGTATGGGAATACTATTTTGTATCTAAATAGTAAAAATGGTCGACTGCAGGATACAAGTTCTTCTTCCAGCTACCGAAAAAAAAAACACATTTGCTTCAGACGTCAAAGCACGGTTAGGTTTAAATTAATTATTTATAAGTCATTGACATTTGGTTTAACAGTTGTTAATCAAATATTAGTAATTTTTCTTCCCGAGTGTTCATTTTCAGTTTGTATAAACGACTGTTAACGTCATAATCAAACTACGTTTCTTACGTCTATACTTTCGCGGACCATCGGACTTTAGCGTATGGAGGCATCGCACTTTAGCGTATACCATCGCACTTTAGCGTGACCATCGCACTTTAGCGTCCCCATCGCACTTTAGAGTCCTACATATATACCATATCTACACCATAAGGTGTCATCTTGTTTGATCCGGTATCAATCCAGCCTTTTTAAAACACAATTTTGTTTTATGTTTAAATGACATTTAAATTACTGAGTCCCCTTCCCGCATCGGCTGCATATTAATATATTTAAGACTTTTATGTAGTATAGTGACAGTGGTGTTCAGTTCGTAGTAAAATGTGAATGCCAGTGATATAGTACTTTTTTTGTAATCTAGACAAATCATTTTGGATCCGATTTGACCAATCCGACAGTCAACATGATCTTATAACAAAATGGCACATTTTTTTCCGAGAGCAATAAGAATGGAATTTGGATAAATGTTCCTTCGACAGTAACGTAACAATACAGTTTTTCACACGATAATGCATTTTCTAAGTTTTTATTCATTTTGTTACTTTTTCTCGCAAGAACCTATGGCAGTTATTTTCCTGATATACTTATGGAATTTCTTCTTTTTTGGGTGGGCTAAGTATATCTAAATCCTACTTTTCAGTCAAGGAATAACTATGGCTCACCATTCCACGTTAAATGTAAATCTTTTATAGGTGTTTTATCATCTTAACTATTATTATCAATTTTTTTTCGCAATAAAGCTCTATTGATTGGATGTCAGTCTGTAGACTTTTGCACAAGGAAATTTAACAGATTTAACTTGCGGATTTTATAATTTGTAATAAAATAACAACTCAGAGGAAACCAATTTTTAGATTTCTAAACTCAAACAAACGATCCTGAAATAAAACAATTTAATTTTTTATTACACTGTACATGCTTCATACTGACAAACTTTTGCAATAAGGCAAATTATTATACCAGCTGATAAGTTTGATTTAAAATGAACTTCATGAGTTTAACAGCCGAACGGGATAAGTCGAGGTGACCATGTGTCAATACCTAAGCCAACCCTTGAACAAGTGAAAATGAATAAAAAATTCGTAAGGGTTCCGCGGAACCCAGTGTCTCGCCTTCTTTTGCTGTTAGTCGCAGGCTCAACAAAAATGGGGAAACAATTATTAAAAATTTTCCTCTAGATACCTTTTTTTGATTGTAAGAAGCTTCTATGCAAGTTTGGTAAAAATCCAGGATGTTTTATGAATCTAATAAATGTTTTAAAAACTTTAACTGCAGACTGTATGTAATGTTAACTGGAAGAAAAACTAAGTCCATTTATAAGTAATATACGGAAAAACAGGAAATAAATTTTTACAGAATTTCCTTCTAGATACTTGCTTTTGATCATAAACAAGCTTCTGTCCAAGTTTGGTACAAATCCAGGATAGTTTAAGAAAGTTATAAAATTTTAAAAACTTTAACCACAGAGTGAATGTAATGTTAACTGGCAGAAAAACTAAGTTCATTTATAAGTAAAATACGGATAAACAGGATTTATTTTTTACAAAATTTACTTCTGGATACTATCTTATGATCATAAACAAGCTTCTGTCCAAGTTTGGTACAAATCCAGGATAGTTTAAGAAAGTTATTAAAATTTTAAAAACTTTAACCACAGAGTGAATGTAATGTTTCCCGGCAGAAAAACTAAGTCCATTTACAAGTAAAATACTGAAAAACAGGAATTTTATTTTTACAAAATTTACTTCTGGATACTATCTTATGATCATAAACAATCTTCTGTTCAAGTTTGGTAGAAATCCAGGATAGTTTAAGAAAGTTATTAAAATTTCAAAAACATTTAACCACAGAGTGAATATTTGTGGACGCCGCCGCCGACGACGACGACGACGCCGACGGAATGTAGGATCGTTATGTCTCGCTTTTTCGACTAAAGTCGAAGGCTCGACAAAAACGAGAAACGAGAAACGCTTATGAACCACATCAACAAACGACAAATACTGAACATCAGATTCCATTTAGTTCTCAACAATGTTAAGATTTTAAAGCCTAG